ACATTTTCCAGTTTGTGTGCATAAAGGTTTTTGTAGTATTCATAGACTGTATCTTGTATCTCCATGGCATCAGTTGTAATTTCTCCTTTTTTTTCCTGATGGAGCTTATTAGAGATTTTCCTTTTCTGCTTTTCATTAGTCTAGCCAAAGGCATGTCAATTTTGTTTATTTTTTCAAAGAACCAACTTTTTGTTTTATTAATCTTCCATATAGTTTTCTTGTTGTCAATTTTGTTTAGTTCTGATTTGATCTTGTTAATTTCACTTCTTCTGCTGGGTTTGAGGTCCCTCTGTTCTTTTTCCAGCTCTTTGAGTTGATTCATTAGGTTGTGTATTTGTGATCTTTCTGTCTTTGGATATAGGCATTTATGGAAATAAACTTTCCTCTCAGGACTGCTTTAGCTGTGTCCCACAGATTTCGGTAACTTGTGTCTCCTTTGTCATTTAGTTCAAAGAATCTTTTGATTTCCATCTTGATTTCCTTGTTTATGAAGTAATCGTTCAACAGAAGGTTGTTTAGTTTCCACAACTTTGTGTAGAAATGAGAGTTTCTGTTAGGGTTGATTTCTACTTTTATTCCACTGCAGTCTGAGAAGATACATGGTATGATTTCTATTTTTTTAAATTCTTTGAGACATGCTTTGTGTCCTAGGATATGATCAATCTTAGAGAATGTACCATGAGCTGATGAGGAGAACATACATTCAATGATTTTGGGGCAGAATGTCCTGTAAATGTCAGTCAGGCCCATTTGTTCTAGAGTTCTGTTTAAGTCCATTATTTCTTTGTTAATTTTCTGTTTGGAGGATCTGTCTTGTGCTGTCAGCGGGGTGTTGAAGTCTCCAGCTATTATGGTGTTGCTGTTTATCGATTTGTTTAGATCAAGTAGAGTTTGCTTTATGAATCTGGGTGCACCTAAGTTGGATGCATACATGTTTAGAATTGTTATGTCTTCTTGTTGAACTGTACCCTTCACCATTATATAGTGACTCTCTTTGTCTTTCATTACTTTTATTGATTTAAAAACTAAGTTGTCTGGGCTGGGCGCAGTGGCTCACGCCTGTAATCCTAGCACTCTGGGAGGCTGAGGCAGGTGGATCGCTCAAGGTCAGGAGTTTGAGACCAGCCTTAGCAAGAGCGAGACCCCGTCTCTACTAAAAAATAGAAAGAAATGATCTGGACAACTAAAAATATATGTATATAGAAAAAACTTAGCCGGGCATGGTGGTGCATGCCTGTAGTCCCAGCTTTCCCGGGAGGCTGAGGCAGAAGGATCGCTTGAGCCCAGGAGTTTGAGGTTGCTGTGAGCTAGCCTGACGCCACGGCACTCTAGCCCAGGCGATAGAGCAAGACTCTGTCTCAAAAAAAAAAAAAAAACAACTAAGTTGTCTGAAATCAAAACTGCCATACCAGCCTTCTTTTGGCTTCCATTTGCTTGAAATATTGATTTCCACCCCTTTACCTTCAGTCTAAATGCATCCTTGAAGGTTAGATGTGTTTCCCAAAGACAGCAGATACTTGGCTTGTATTTATGTATCCATTCGGCCAGCCTACGTCTCTTGAGTGGGGAGTTCAAGCCATTCACATTTATTGAGAGAACTGATAAGTGGGGCAAATCTCTGTTCATCCTATTGGGTTGAAATTTGTTGTTTTGTTTTCTCTCTCAGCAAGCAAATTTATATAAATCAATTTAAACAGCTCCTGGCATTTTAAAAAGAATGATACTCTGGTACCTCCTTTTAAATCCTTGCATTTCTCTCTTCACTCTCTTACTTCTCAATTCTGAATCCTCTCTCATATGTTATCTCTTTTTAAAAATCTTATTTCTCTTTTACTCTCTCACTTTTCAATTGTTCTGAATCCTCTACCATAACTGTTATTAATAAAAAGAATTTCTCGAAACTAAGATTCTCCTTCCTGGATCTACTCCTTTTTTCATCTGTGAATCTCTCCTTCCCTTTCCCGAAGCAGGTTTCCTAGCCACCAAAGCTACTTCTGTTCTCCATCCATCATGTCTCCAGCCTGCATAATAAGCCCTAAGAATTGGAAACGAAGTTGGTAGGGTAGGAACGCTGGGTGTTTATGTCAGAATTTTCCTCAGAGAATTTGTTCTTGATACAAAGGTTCTAACAGCCATGTTTAAAAGAACTGCATTCTACTAGCTTTCTTATTTTTCACATTGAAAATATATCCAAACTTTCTACCTCCTTATTGAAGTTCAGCCCCTCAACCTATGCTACTTCCTTTTTTTCTCTTTAGAGAATGCAAGCAAGTAACTTCTGGCTATCACTGACTACCCTATTACTCTGATACCAACAATGCATTGTTCCTCCTTCTACATTCCTCAACCTCTGATTTTTGCTGCAGATTAAAGAAGAGTTTCAAATGACTCCCTCCTGTATTCATGATCTCCCTCTAGGTCCTGGAGATCTTCCTTAGCATTGTTTTTCCTAGAGAGAGTTGCTAGTATAGGAATGCTTAACCTGGGTGCCACTGGGTCTGTTAACGTCCAGAAGTTATATGTAGAATTTAGTGTAGTGCAGTTTTCTGGATTTTTCTGACAAAGATCCATAGTTTTTTTTTATGTCAACTTTATTAAGGTATAATTTATATACAATGAAATCCATCTGATTTAAATGTACAATTCAATGAGTTTTGACAAATGTATATTCTCTGCATCCCTGATTTTTTTCATATTCTCAAAGGAGCCTAAAGAATAAAGATAAAAAAGAAGCTGTTAATGAAGCCCTTAGTGTGCTGGGCATGTTGGCTCATGCCTGTAATCCAGCATTCTGGGAGGCTGAGGGGATAGCTTGAGCTCAGGAGTTCAAGACCAGCCTGAGCAAGAGCAAGACCCCATCTCTACCAAAAATACAAAAATTATCTGGGCGTGGTGGCACATGCCTGTAGTCCCAGCTACTTGGGAGGCTGAGGCAGGAGGATCACTTGAGCCCAGGAGTTTGAGACTGCAGTGAGCTATGATGATACCACTGTACTCTAGCCTGGATGACAGAGCAAGACCCTGTCTCAAAAAAAAGCATTTAGTGATCAGACTAGGAGCATAATTCTTCAATGGACTTTTTTGTCTTAATAAAGTTTGGGGTTTTTTCTATTATGATTATAAATACGCTCATTACAAAAAATTTTTTAAAAAGCAGAAGGAAAAATTATTAACTTGTATTCAGAGATAGCCACCATTAACATTTTTATTCCTTCCAAGTACTATTTTGTACATGAGTGTGTTGGTAGGGGCTTCCACCTCCAATTTGTTCTCTACATGTAGCCAGAATTATCTTCCTAAGACCTGCGTCACTCTTTTGCTTTTGTTTTGTTTCTTTGTTGTTCCCCTTTATGTTTTCTTTATTTTTTCATCTTTTCCTTTTTTTCCCCATGTCACTGGTTTGATGCAGTGATTTCCAACTGTTGTTAGAACACAAGGTCTTGTGTGCCTCCCTCCTGCCTGTCTCTCTACACCCTCCAACATACCACACTGGCCTTCTTTATGTTCCTTCCCACATAAGGGTCTTCCTGCCTTGTGGCCTTTGCACTTGCTGCTTCCTCTGCTTGGAATGACCTTGTCCAGCTCTGCACAGAGCCAGCCAGCCCCTCCTCATTCTTTGCTGCTCGCTCAGATGTCTCTACCTCAACAAAATCTTTGCTCAACACACATAGCTCTGCCCTTGCTGTCTCTCATCACTCTCTTTCCTTCCTAGGGTTTCTTAGGATCAGAGGTTATCTGGTTTGATTATTCTTTACTGTTGTATTATCTGTTTCCTTCTAACAGCATATAAATTCCACCAGTGATTATGTTTGCTTGTTCAACACAGGTCCCCACCCCAGTGCCTGCCTAGCACAGACTCTGCCACACGGCTGATGCTCTGTTAAATATTTATGAGTTAATATAAGTCAGCTCAGATCCCCTTTTCTGCTCAAGACCTCTAATGTCTTACCATCTCACTCAGAATAAAATCTAAAATCCTTACAATATTCTGTAGGTTGCTACACCATCTGGCCCATCCTTCATCCACTTCCTGTTTCTTTTTCTCTCATTTACTTTGCTCCAGCCAACCTAACCTACTTATTGTTCCTCAGAAGCATCAAATACTCTCTTCTCAGTCCTTTGCACTTGATGTTCTCTCTGCCTGGAATACTCTTCTCCCAAATTTCTACGTGGTTCAATCCCTCATTTTAATATTAAGTGAGGTCATCCCTGACCATTCTAAAATAACAATTTCTATCCCTTTCCTCTGCATTTTCCTTCATCATGACATTTATCACCATTTGATACATAATTAATTTTACATATTTATTTTGTTTATTTCATGTTTCCCCAGCTAGATAATCACCTCCACAAGCAGGACTGTCTCTTTTGTTTACTATTTATATCCCCAGTTCCAGTCATAGTGACTGGCTCATAATTGATACTGTGTTTATTGATTGACTGAATGAAGGTTATAATGGTGAATTAAAGATGTTATATAGCTTTGTGTAAATGCTGCTGTGTTTACTGTAAAGAGGTTGTAGAGACTCTTTTTCACAATATTTCTGTGTCTTGTTTTTGAAGAGCCACAGAAGAAACATCTTTCTGCCTCCAGGAGAATCAATTGAGGCCAAAAGTTTGAGACCAGCCTGAGCAATGTAGGAAGACCCCATCTCTGGAAAAAAAACCTCTTTTTTTAAAAAAGAAATTTATTTCTGCCTCAATCTTAGGAAAAGTTGTACTTCCTCTGCTTAGCTAGTGGCTTCTTATCATATGAACTACATGAATTATATTACACAGGACATTGCGTGTACCTTTACATTAGCTGTGAGAAAGTTCAGAGCCTAACTCTGGGGCCTACTTTGAGCAAATGATGATTATGCATTTTTCTACCGTAATTTTTTAATGTGTCAGATTTTCTTCACTATTTATTTTAAGGTACATTTCCCTTTCTGGTGTGGTTCTGGCACCTTATATTTTTTTGCATAATAAAGCAGTATATCAATAAATAAAATTTTTAAATAGTATTAAATACTACATCTCAACTTTGCATTCAGCCTTTTTACTTAGCAGAACAGTACATTTTCCAGTACTATAAATGCCTCAGATACTTGCTTTCTAATGGGTATAGAGTGGTTGTCCCATAGTTCTCTTTACTATTATGCAATTATTCCCAAAATGTGATCTTTAAAAATAGTGCTAGAATGAACATCTTTATGCACAAAGTTTTTTCATTTGTCAGATTGTTTACTTAGGCTAGAATTTCCCTATTTAATACCATCTGCTGGGTATATCATATCTACCCATGTTAAATGTGAACCCTACAGAGATCCAAGGACTGAATGTGACTTTTGCACTTCTTGGGTTTGGGTAGAAGTGGGATTACTTCTCAACAACTCAAATCTAAAGCACTAAATGCACCTGTATTCTGATGACATTTTCCTTTTTCCTTCTTAATTAGCTTCCGCTGCGATTCCAAAGACTTGGACACCTGGTGGCTCTGATGGCGCTGCTGTGTGGGGACCCGGTGAAGGAGGTGGCCGAGGAGGCTGCAGAGGGCACGTACTACCTGCTGCATATCATCCTGAGGCTAAAGTGTAAGGCCCTGCTGAAGGCAGCAAGGCCCTGAGCGAATTCTCTAGCACAACATACGCACCAGCCCTCCTTATACACTCACTCCCCATGTTCTAGAAAGACTTTTTACAGTAGCTTATAAAGAGAAAGGTACATGGCCCATAAGTGAATTATCTTAGGAATGGAAAAACAAGTATCACATGTTGTCACTTATAAGTGAGAGCTAAATAAGGGATATATATGATCATAAAGTGTTGTAATAGACATTGAAAACTAAGAAGGGGAGAGGGTGGCAGGGAGAGAGGGATGAAAACCTACCTATTGGGTGTAACAATGTACACTATTCTGGCGACAGATACACTGAAAGCCCTGACTTCAGAATTGTATAATTCAGCCATGTAACAAAAGACACTTGTCCCCCGTAAGTCTATTTAAATTTTTAAAAAAGGGAGAGAGAAAGGTACATGGTCCACAGGCAGAGGTAAAGCATCACTGACTTAATAATTAGAATCATAACACTGGGTCAGACCCATCATTGTGAGCCATCTGCACGGCCATGGAGTGGCGAAACATGTGGCCCTGCGGACAAACTGGAGTGGTTAGTTTGATCAGAAATTAGAGGAGTTCTTGCCAACACTTGGGCCTTCATTTATTTATCCCGCAAATGTTTGTTTAGTACTTACTCAGGATCCAACAATAACCAGAGCACAAGTGGTCCTTGTATTACAGACAGTCTGTTGTGAGATTCAGACAATCAAAGAATCAGCAAATAACTCTGTTATTATCAACAAAGATAACTGCTATGAAGGGAAATTACAGGGGACACGAGTAAGAATCAGATCTAGTTGTAAGGTTCAGAAAAGGCCTCTGTGAAGATAATCTGAAGAATAAAGAGTGATTAGCCAGGTGAAGAGGTAAGAAGAGGGAGCAGTGTAAGCAAAGGCCCTCAGCAGGTGTGAGCTTGAGGAGTGTGGAAAATAGAGAGAGGGACAATGTGGTCAAGGGATGAACCACTGACTTTCCCAGTTAGAAGGGACTTTAGAAAATACCCAACCCAACACAGCGTCCTCCCAGTGTTCAAATCTCAGTCTACTCCATCCCCACCAAGTATGGTCATGTGCCGTATAATGACATTTCAGCCAACAACAGACTGCATATGTAACAGTGGTCGAATAAGATTATAGTGGAGCTGAAAAATTCCTGTCACCTAGTGACATCGTAGCTGTTGCGATGTAGCGCAATGCGTTACTCACGTGTTTGTGGTGATGATGGTGTAGACAAACCAGCACTGCCAGTTATATAAAAGCATAGCATGTGTAATTACGTATAGTGCATAATACTCGATAATGATCATAAATGACTATGTTACTAGTTTATGTATTTGCTATACTGCTTATCATTATTTTTGAGCACACTCCTACTTATAAATAAAAAGTTAACCATAAAAAAGCCTCAGGCAGGTCCTTTAGGAGGTATTCCAGAAGAAGGTGTTGTTATCATAGGAGATGGCAGCTCCATGCTTGTTATCGTCCCTGAAGACCTTCCAATGGGACAGGGTGTGGAGGTGGAAGACAGTGATATTGATGATCTGGGCCCTGCGTAGGCCCAGGCTACTGTGTGTGTTTGTGTCTCAGTTTTTAACAAAAAAGTTTAAAAAGTTAAAAAAAAATTTAAGTAGAGAAATGCTTATAGAATAAGGATATAAAGAAAGTATTTTTGTACAGCTGACCAAAATTTTTAAAAATTAAGTTTCTAAAGTAAGAAAGTTACAGTAAACTAAGGTTAATTTATTATTGAAGAGAGGAAAATTTTTTTTATAAACTTAGTGTAGCCTAAGTGCACAGTGTTTATAAAGTCTGTGGTAGTGCACAGTAGTGTCCTGGGCCTTCACATTCACTCACCACTCACTGACTCACCCAGAGCAACTTCCAGTCCTGCAAGCTCCGTTCATGGTAAGTGCCCTATAGAGGTGTACCATTTTTTATCTTTTATGCCATATTTTACTGTACCTTTTCTTTTTTTTTTAACTGTACCTTTTCTGTGTTTAGATACACAAATACTTACCATTGTGTCACAGTTGCCTACAGTATTTAGTACAGTAAATGCTGTACAAATTGTAGCTACAAATTTGTAGCCTAGGAGCAATAGGCTGTACCACACAGCCTAGGTGTATAGTAGGTTTGTGTAAGCACACTCTATTAAGTTCACACAATGAAATAGTTGCCTAATGATGCATTTTTCTCAGAACATGTCCTCATCATTAAGCTATGCATGACTGTCATTGCTCTGCCTGGGCATCCTTGTCACGTGGATGGGAAGCTCTGTGCTTCCCAAAGCAATTATCCCATCTTTAGGCAGCTCTGATTGCGGACAATGTCTACCAAGATATACGGCCAGGGAAATATGATTGATTATTGATTCAACAAATATTTATGAAGCATTTATTGTCCTAGGGATGCATCAGTAAACAAGACAGACAAAATTCCTTCCCCCAGGGAGCTGATTCCCTAGTTAGAGAGACAGTATCCTTAACTACAGGCTCAAAGACTTCTCATAGATAAATTTCCAGCAAATATGAGGTCACAATAAAACATGAGAAAAATAAGACACCACAAGGAGTGTTGGAAGACTCAGTAATCAGCAAAACTAGACACATAAAGAGTTCTGATACAGAATTATCAGACACGGTATAAAACTGGGCAATTTTTTGTGGGGATCTAAACTTCATTGGGGAAACCCTTCAAAATTCTTCACCAATGGGGAAATGAGGTAGCATGTCTTGGTTGTACTCACAAATTGCTCAAAAACTCTGCTTTTATAAAAAGATCTTTTCTTTTTCTTTCAGTTCTTTTTATCTATTTTTCCACAAGAAAAGGGAAACAAATCAGCCTTCAGATTAACACACACTCCCTTCCCCAGGCATTTTCGTTAAAGTGAAAAAGACAAGAAGAGTGAGACCTTAGGATCCACTTGAAACTGGAGATCAACCAGACTTATAAAATCAAGAAGAAAGAAAGTATTAACATTTCTTGTTTTTTCTCAGATATCACTCATGACAATGAAAATCACCAAAGCTTGAGAAGAGCATTAAAAAAATTTCGAGAATTCCTAGAGCTCGACAATATTAACCAGTTCTACAGTTGTCCCTTCAAAATTGCCCAGGTAATCAGAATGGTTAAAATTATAAAGGCAGCTTGAAATGTTGGCGAGGATGGGGAGCAACCAGAAGTCTCACACATTTGTTCATGGAAATATAAAAGGGTAAAAATCACTTTGGAAAGAGTTCTGCTAGTTTCTTCTAAAAATAAACATACACAATTGCCCAGGGAATGAGCTCTGTAAGCATATTATAGTTTGGAAACGAGGCACTATGTTTGTGACTCTTATATACCTTGCCCTCTTAGTTTAGTGGTTTAGATCAACCTGTCAATGAGGCCGGTATCCCTGGGTTTCTCTGCAGACCAGCTCTGCTTCTTCTGATTGCCAGCCTCTTGCAAATGTAAAACCCTTGTCACAAAAAGGAGCTGCAAGAGAGTGTGCTTGATTAAAGGAGACATACATAGTTTAATTAATGTAGTTATTCAACAAATATTTACACATCAACTAGGTGCCTTGGCATGTTAGGGATTAGGGCTACAAAAGAAAGCCTACAGATTTTACTCATTTAGGGTCAAAGGTATCAGGTAATTTAATCTCCCTGTGTGTCAGTTTTCTCATCTGATACCATGAGGATTTCTAAAAATTGGGCTCAGTTGTTGTAAGGGTTAAATGAGATATTGTATGGAAAATGCTTTACATAATGCCTGTTACATAGTAAGTACCCAGTAGATTGTACCTATTACAATCATGTGAAGCATTTTATATACTGCCATGTGCAATTAGAAGCAGAATGACACATTCTTTTAATATGTTGTCCCCTGTCTTTAATTATGCCTGGGACCATGTCAGCTACATAACATTAGGGACTTTTCTTTAGTCCTATTCCCATAAAAGTGTTACTCTTGGCTGGGTGCAGTGGTTCATGCCTGTAATCCTAGCACTTTAGGAGGCCAAGGTGAGAGGATTGCTTGAGGCCAGGAGTTCAAGACCAGCCTGGGCAACATAGTGAGACTCTATCTCTAAAAAAATAAAAACAAAAAAAAAATTTTTAAGTACGACTCTTTCTGAGGATCTCATAATAAAGCTTCTTTCTAAAAGAGCAGCAAAAGGCCATGTTTAGACCCTAGCAATGGACATTTGGGTTGCTTCTAATTTTTCATCTTTGTAAACTAGATTGAGGTAAACAGGCTTGTACATCTTTGTACACTTCTCTGTTAACTTAGAAGCTAGTGCTTGTTCAGGGCTCTTTCTATCTACCATATTTCTTGGAAGTTCATTTTTCCTAAAATCATTTCAGGTCTTCATAGTTTTTCTCAATTCCAATGAGCTCTGCCAGTTCACGATGACTACATTGGATGGCCTGCAAAATCTGAAAAATCCCTGCATCCAGGAATTAGCAGGAGAATTGCTGATAACATTGGCGAAAAATGCAGTGTCCCGATTTGAGAAGGTAAAAGCTCAGTGGCCATTTCCTTGGTTCAAAATACCAGCCAGACCTCAGCTGCTGAGGTCTCTTCTGCTCCTGCTGTTCAGCTGAGAACAGCTACTGATGAGGACAGGGTCAAAGCCTTAGTCCATTTGGTCACAAACATTCATCCATTTAATAAACATATACTGAACAACACAACCACTGTGTATGCAGCGGAGTGGGAGATTTTTAAACCTAAGATGTGGTCCATATTTTCCATAAGAGTAGAGGTTTTTCTGGGGAGATATAAGGAACACATATGAGAACAGTAACTTCAATTTAGATACTCATCCAGATGGATTAAGGTGTCAAGATAAAAAAAAGCCATAAGTGACCCTAGAAGGAGACAGACTTAGAAAGCCTAAATTCAAGAGAATTTATCTAAATGTGTCTAAAATTGATACATCAAGAAATAACAATATAACTATATCATTTAGAAATAGAGAAGGACATACAGTGAGAGATAAAAGGGAGGAAAGTTGTCTCTGGAGAGCAGACCTGGGGAATAGGGAGGAAAGAACCTTGAAATACTACTGGACTTTTAAAAATATGTGCATATTATACTTTGATAAAAATAAAATGTAAGCCGGGCACAGTGGCTCATGACTGTAATCCTAACACTTTGGGAGCCTGAGGTGGGAGGATTGCTTGAGCTCAGGAGTCTGAGACCAGCCTGAGCAAGAGCAAGACCCCATCTCTACTAAAAATAGGAAAATTAGCCAGGTGTTATGGTATGCGCCTATAGTCCCACCTACTCGGGAGGCTGAGGCAGGAGGATTGCTTGAGCCCAGGAGATTGAGGTTGCTGTGAGCTACAGTGACACCACTCCACCTACCCGGGGCAACAGAGGAAGACTCTGTCTCAAAAAAAAAAAAAA